ATATCTAGAATGCTATGTAATTGAAAAACCTATCAGCATCTTAATTCCTTTACAGCAAGGCTGACCTTTCTTTAACTCACTAAAATAAACACTGAATAATTCATTCCTTTAAAATAAATGGCTTCTACATGCTCAACTTTTAAAATTAACAGGCTTTATGTATTTATTTTACATATCAGCAAATATCGCTAATATTCATACTAGCCTGGTTATGGCAACCAATTATTTTCCCAACATCTGTAAGTTCCTTTTTATTAATTATTTCATGGTTATGGCTTGTTCAACCTGTCACTGGTCAATTTATTCCTAGAATTTGAAAATCATGACCTATGGGACAGAAACCAATTGCTTCCCAACTCATTTGACTAACATAACTGCAAATTTTATACAGACATTTTGGCTATTTGAGAATAACAGCCCATTGACAGTAACATACTCTATTTCAGCACAATAATTTCATCACATCATGAAACCCCCACCCCACATATCCTAAAATAAACAACAATAAAAACCTGTAATATGGTAATACAGTAGTTATTTAAAGATAACAGTCACAAAAAAGCCAGGCCTGTGTCAAAATGGGGAATGGAAAGGAATGAAAAGTGATGCAGAGGTAGTAGTCTCAATCTTCACGTAACTTTTCCTGCCAGTTAATGACTGGCAGGAACCTTGCCAAGCTCAGGGTCAAACAGAATGGGATTTCTCCATAACAATGTTAAGGCAGCAATACAACACTCATTTTAGCTGCTTCTTTAGTTGGCAAAACTATATGTTTTTGAGTAGTTCATTTCACTGTATTCATGCATGACATACATAACATTCAATTTCACTTTAAAGACACTGCTAAACTGAAGGAAAGCCCATGTTGCTGTTTCACAAATTAGCCCACTGGTTTTCTGTAACACTTCTGCAGTTACTCTGAAATTCTCTTTTAAGCTTGGCTTGAAAATTATTCAACTCTGTCATTATTCAAAACTTCCAAGTTCTTTTTCTGGTGAACATCTGTTGGTCTCTAGCAAAGGAGGTCATCCCAATTGGGCTAGGGCCTATCTGTAGGACTAGCAGAGCTGGAAAGTCACCTACTACAAGATCAGAATGCCCAATCTCCAGAATGGCTAAGGAGTGAGCAAGAATTATCTGTACCGCACAGAAAATGAACAAATTAGCTAGAAGACTACCACACAAATGAAAGCAGGCAAGTTAGTATTCAGCTTAGCAAGGATAGTGGGAATCTGACCTCCCAATATTAACACTATACTTGCTATTCTAATCCTTATAAACATTTTCAAAAATGGATGCCCCTTGTTTCCTAGGATACTAACAAGAGAATGAAATGCAGCCATCCTGCTCCCTTCTCCCAGTGCTCCACTCCCCAGGCCATTCTTGCAGTGAGGAGAATCCTAGAAGAGACCATGGCTTACACATCCATGCCCAGCACATCTCTACGCATGTGCTTTCCCATACTCCTTTTCTTTGCTCCTTCCTGAGCTCCCTTCAAGCTCGGAACTTTTCAGTGGGAAGCAAGGGTCTTTCCTAGGAACTGAGCCTCCTGACCATGGCCAAGTAATTATCCTGAATTGTTAGTTCCTTTAGAGCCCTGAAAGCTTACAATAAGCCCTGTTTCCCTGTCTCAGGCAGAAAACAGTACCAAAGATGGGCAGGTGATTAATGGCTTCCATATCATGGGGCAGTATCCAGCACTGCTGCTGTGCTTCTGCTCAGTCTGTTGCTGCTACCTACTGCTAGTACAACAGGGGGTTAGCACTACTTAAGCAACTCCAGAAACAAATGGGAACATAGGCTGCATTGTATACTGGTTTGTGTGTCTTTCTGTCCTATCTTTCTTAGTTAGGGTTAGAGAGGTGACAGTACATTATAGGAAGAAGCTATAGTAATATTTTGCTTATCTTTTGTTCTGAAAGTTCCTAAATATAATGAACTGATAAATTATCTCAGATATGCGGTTATACTTCCAAAGTCCATCTCCCTTCCCTTAAATAATCATTTTATTACATTTACTCACATTTTCCCACCAAACTTGTTTTTTTTAACAAAATCATTGGATTGTAGCTTTAAAAACATTCCTTTAGAAGCTTAGTAAATATATAATTGTTTGGACTGTACAGATATTATACAGATTAGTGTCAAGGAGAGCAATTTCATTCTACTAGACAATGAGTGACATTATACTTAAGAATTCAGATATAGTCCACATTCTTATATTGTATCTGAGTTTTAAAAAACCCCAAAAACGTCAGACTTTTTTCTGCAGAATATTTTCACAGCAACTTAAGCATTATGTTACTTAAGTGTGTATCACCCAAGTATTCATTAGGTTGTATCTAATGTTAAGCTAACTTAAGCCTTATTTACTTAAATGGTACTACTCTAAATAGGACCAACAATGGATACAACCAAGTGTCTTTGAGCAATTATCATTTTGCCTTTTTGTCAAATCATTATTGGCATGTGAATCAATGGGCATGCTCAGAGAAAGGATGTGGTCCGATGTTCCTACACCATATCTGTAAACCTAAAATCTGAAATGGTGGTTAGGTTTATTTTGCTTTAATACACTTAAGAAAAAGCTGAACAGATAGCATGCATAGTTATTATTGCTGTTGTTGATTATTGCTTCAGTGTAGGATTGCTGAAAATATTTACTTGTCTTTAAGGCCTAGAAAATATAAATATAAGATTGCTACAGAAATATAAAGGAAGCATTCTGACACTGGCTTATTCGTTCTCCTTCCTGTAAATAATGATTCATTCATAAAGCATTGCCTCTTTCTTTACAGCATACTCATACAAACAACAGCTTCTGATCCTACAGAAAAATAACATGATGTACAAACAAACAATATTTCCTCTCTTTCTCTTTCATTTTGCTTCTGCTGAGAATTTTGAAGTTATCATTTGAAGCCCATTTCCCTGCAACAAAATGTATTTGCATCAGATGGAAGAATGGATCAGGTATTTCACTTCAGAGAAGAAATGAACATTTCTAGTTGAGATTACTCCAGAAATACAAATTAAGGAAGTATGAATGAGAAAGCAGCACATCCCCCAAAGTGATTTTATTTCTCACCCTGCTCAAGTGAGTTGCTGGCAGTCAACTCCAAGCACTCTTGGTTGAAACAGGATATTTTGCTCCCTTTAAAGTAGGCTTCAGTTCTGGTTTTAGAAGAAAAATTGCCCTGGTCACCCTGTTATATGACCTTAACTAGGAGAGGGATGGAGGAGTGCAACCCTCCTGATTCTCTTGGACCTCTCAGGTGTTTTGAACACCACAGACCATGGTAACCCTCTGGATAGGCTGCCTCAGTCAGAATTTTGAGGCACTGTATTGCTGTGGTTTTACTCCAATGTAGAAGGCCAATTCCAGAAGGGGGATTATTGCTCTGTGCTTTGCAGCTGTGGTACAGATTTCCACAGGGTTCAGCTTTATTCTTCGTGCTGTTCAACATCTACAGGGCACTGCTGGGAGAGGATATCCAGATGTGGGCCGAGATCATCAATATCCAGATGAGACCCAGCTCCTTCTTTCCTTTGCATTAGATGCAGGTGGAACACAGGCTGTTCAGAAATGCTGTGAGGGCATGGTTGAGAGCTGATTAACTGAGATTTGATCCAAGCAAGACATAGGTACTGTTAATGGTTAGCCTGCCCAGATGAGTCATATTCAACCTATTCAGGAGAACTTGCACTCCCACTAAAGGACCAGGTTCATAGTTTGGTGGTTCTCCTGGATCCAGCACTGCTTAGAAACTTCAGCTAGTCCAGCAAAGAGCAGCAAGACTATCAATACTTTACCCTCCGCAGTGTCTACCAGTCCATGTCCAGGCAGAATTCAAAGTGCTGTTATTAAAATTCAAGCCCTAATTGGCTTTGCCTATTATCTTCAGTGGTCTTCCTGCAGAAATCACTACCAAGGGAAGTTAAATTCATGGCTACTAAGAAGAGAGCTTTTAGTATTGTGCATCCTGGTTGTATAATGAGCTTCCTAGAAAGGCTCACCTGTCAGGTACATTGTACTTTTTCCAGTAGCAGGTGCAGACCTTCTGATTTCCCTAGGAATTTTATTTTCTGGCTGTGTTAAAACTTGAACTGCATTTTAATTCTTTGTACTGTGGCTAGGCTGGGTCTTCTGACTTTTACTTTTATGCCATAGTTTAACCATTCAAATGTTTGTACCGTATTTTATGTTTTTAAATTGTTTTAATTTGTTGTGAACAGCCACTGAACTTTAGCTCTTGGTCATATGAAAATGCAATAAAGAAAGAAACCAAAGGTAGGTAGATATAGAGAAATACGATTAGGCAATTGTCAAAGCGGAAGGCCAATCCTGGGAGGCCATAAGATGCATGCTACTTGGTCAGACCTTCCTAGTATTTCAATAACAAGAAAACGTAACATGGAAGAGTTTACCTATATAAGCTGACAAAAACAACAATGTTTAAATAATATATAAATGTTATCTCATCATTAACATTGAATGATGAACATTAATCAATACTATTCCTTTATGAAATTAAAAAGAAGGACTGCAACTCCTGAAAAAAGCAGATGAGGGAAATAATCCAATTTGTAGGTACAACTCCCTCTACATTTATTGAACTTTAACAATCTAATGTGCATACATTTCAACCAACCTTTTGCTTCAGAGAACTTTGTATAAGATATTCAAATATTTGGATCTGGGACAAGCAAAATCAAGGTGCATATGGCTTAATGGGTACTATTGCTTTACAGCATGCAGTCTCTAAGGTACAGAAAATGTTAAAAAATTTTGTGGCAGCTTGCTTTTACCATGTAGTAAATGGTTCCACTGAATATGAAATCAAAATAAATTTGTATTCCATTTACTATACACCAGTGTATTTAAACTGTTCATAAATGCACATTTAAGATCCACATATTTTCTAGTGAGAGGTATTACACCCAGAAATAGAAAACAAGATTATATTCAGTAGAACAAACCCCAGTAGAGACTATATTACCTTTTGCTGGATTTACTTTAATCCCTGACTTATACAGCATCTCTTCGTTCTGCCAGTCCCCATTCCTGACAAATGTCTTGAGTCCATAGAAAAAAATTAATGCAGCAGTGGCAAAAAAAATCAAGTTCTTCAGAAAGCGCTTTTGGGCTTTGATATAGAGGGTCCTGGTGCCTACAGTGATCAGCAGGCAGAAGCCCATGCTAGGTATATACAACACACGCTCTGCTATCACAAAGCCTACATAAAAAAACAAGTTTGTGGCAGGAATAAAGGGAACAATTAATAATGAAAGAGACAGAACTACAATATTCTCAGTGGATGGAAGTTGCGGTCTCTGCAGCAAGGGTTTGTTAACACCGTTTTCTTCTTTAGATACAAAATTTGACTTCAAATCCAGGGTTTTATATTCCATTTCTGATAAACAGTTATGTCCATTGGCATTTGGTTTGCCATTTGTTACATTTTTACCATTGCATTCTCTCTCTTTACTGGAGTTTTTCAAACCAGCATAAGCAAGGAGAAGGAGTCCAGTATAGAAGGCCACTGTATGTAGGTTCCTCCAGTCACTGACTGTTTTGAGAAGAGGCACAGCATCCATGGACCAATCAAAGCTAAGAGTGTCTGGGCACAGCAATAGCCAAAGGTTTTTGGTTGGCAGGTAAAAAAAGGTCAGAGTTCGGGTTAGAAAACTGTCCGAGTCAGCTGCAGGATTGTCAGAGTTGGAAAAGCTGGGAGGTTTGTTCCCCATCCAGTAGAAGCGAAGACCGAGCAGCAAAGCTCCCCAGAAGATCAATAAACCAATGCTATAAAGGAGGTGCAAGTTCTTCCTCTGAAAGGGAAAATAAATAAATAAATAAATAAATAAATAAACAAATAAATAAATATCGACAGTTTGGTTGCTAAAATTGCTTTATTAAAAAAAGTCCTTAACTTCTTATTTGTGAGTTTTTGATGGGGGTTACGAATTTAAAATCCTAACCTAGAGGAACTTTACCATTTTCAAGTTAGCATGTGCTTGTTTAGCATATAACCCAACCGTTGAAGCTCTCTGGAAGTTCATGACAGAAAACTTAAAATCATAAAATAATATAACATAGTGAATGTTCTTCATTTTACACTGTAATCTATTCTTTCATGCCTATTAATGTCTGAAATGTTCTCCTGCATCCTTTATACAACCTTTTGTCCTCTGCTAAAGCTTCTCTGAGAACCAGAAAAGACATTGCTGTACAATATTAATAAGCATATAATCTTGCAAACTGTCCATTTTATTCATGCATTTATTGCAAAAGGAATTATTACCTCCAAATAAAAATTTGATTCTTTAACGGCATGATCCTATGCATGTTTAGACCACCACCATCACCATTTTATAATTCACAGCATGTTGCGGCACGCCATGATGTCTGGAACACCCTAGGACTCGTAGGAATGCATAGAATTGGCCATGAGTGCGACAGCCTTGCAATTTCATCACACAGTGAGCCACACTTACATTAACACACTTCTCATGACCTATTTCCCCCCTCTTACTTATATAAATTTCGAACATGAGCAATTTAAATCCACAATTATAATCATAGTTGCAATCAGCTTATTGAAAATGTCATGTCCTTTCACTTTCATTAGCACCAATTTGTGTTTTAGCCTGAACATCAAGTATAAAGATGGAATTATTCATCGCACTGAAAAATGATAACAGTGTCACCCACAGCTTGCTCTTTTTGAATTCCATTTCTTCCCTCAAGGAAGGTGCGGGTTTCCAGTCCAAACAGTAACTGCAACTACACTGAGCTGCCGTGTGGAATGAGCACATGAGCAACCTAAACACAACAAACCCTTAGCTTAGGTTTGGCAAGCTGTAATAGCTCGATACTTGTTTGAACAGCGTCTTATCATTCTTGTTATAGATCATTGTTAAAGAATATCAGTTAATGAATCCTTTTGTATTTGGTTTCCATGTACCTTCGCAGAATTTATTTTAGTAGTTTTTCTTTATGATCCCCAAGAATGCTATACAGCGTAAGAGTTCATAAAGCACATAGTGGAGTTTTCAAACGGGAAATTTCATAACACATCTGCAACAAGCTAACCCTAATATAATATAGTGAGCCACAAAATATACACACACAAGAAAAGTACTTTACAGTACACTGAGGTGGTAAGCTGCCAATAGTGACATTTCTTTGTAGAAAAAAGAGGTACAGATCAAATCAAACAAGAAAAGCTGCATTCCTACATGACTCTCTGGCTGCAGGAAGAAATTTGCTACAATATATCCTAAGGAATTAATAGTCCACCCAATCATCAAATCAAAGTTATCCAAGAATCATAACTCAAAGGCATTGATAACACTGGTACCAGGACAGCAAAAGTGTTATGCGGTATGTGAAGGGGAAAAAAATGCAATATTTGATCATCCCCTCTAACCTGAGAGAGCTGTAGACCAGAAGCAAAACTAGACAAATGAATTATGAAAGGAACAGCACAGAATACCACAGCATAAGCATGACGTATAAACACAGTGGAAGCCATTCTGGGACATCCAGACCACCTGGCAATCTCTGAGTTCCAAGTTCTGTTGCCTAAAAGCAGTCAGTATATACGTTCCTTGACAAGATTATTTTGGAAGTCAGGGATGGGCAGGATGATGAACTTTGGGGAAACAGAATCAGAAGCACAAGTGTGTATGCAACATGCCTAAAGGGCTACCGGAATTATGAACTTACATACCACATCTTTAAAAGGTCACCCTTTGTGTTGGAGGATATTCTGAAGATCTGGACAGACATATAGGTTCATTTGTTCATTCTTTCTTTGTACTAGAATCATTGGTGCTCTGTGGGAATCTATCATTCTTCCCATATCTGTATTTATTCATTTTAACATGATATGGGGGGGGGGTAGTCTCAACAACCCACAACCCAGAGAAGATGGCCAATTAAATGAACCATATTAATGGTTCCTCTGAACCTACTCCCTACTCTTCCTCTGATGTATTTTAATACTGCCCAAAATGCACTCGCTATTGTTTTTTCTTGTTACAACCACACAATTAACTTGATGGTACCTTTAAGCTGGGCAAACCTCCCTGCTGAACCAACTTTTAGGGAGTATATTTTTGTTCAAGTCAGTTTCTTTTTGGTGCTTTTCAGCCTATAACTCATTGGTTTTATTGTATGTATTCTGAATTTACAATACTATGGCCAACATTAAATTAAAGATGTCAGGTAGTTTCATTTCACTGCACCTGAGATTAGGCTCAAACAGAAAAGCATTCTCAGCCCACTCCAGTCTACATGAGATGAGAGATTAGCCAAAAGGATACAGTTTCCTTTTCACTTTCAGCACCATCAAAAAGCACCTCCCTTAGGGGGTGTACTTTCAAGTGTGCTGACAAAATTTCATCTATTATTCATCTAAGTTCTGGACACTAATCACAGATCAGCAGAGCTGAACAAAAGCCTCCCTCTACATCATCTGATCTTTAGACTACAGAAAACGCAGAGAAGTTCCCAAGTCTTCCCATTCTGATCAAACTCCTGAATGCACCAGAGCTGAAGCTTTGTCAGAATCTCTTTATAGCCTCTCCTCAGTCCTCATGCCAGTCCACAAGACCGCAGGCAATTTCCAGCGATGTTGTTTGGGGCAAGGACTTGCAGGGAGAACAAGGAAGAATGCAGCCTATTTAGCTCTCCTGAGTTGTTGAATGACTCTGAAGTCTTAAAAGTAAACCTCTGAGAGCTTCTGAGCAGCTCAAAGCTTATCAAAAAGCAGATCAACACTTTCAGTGCTCATGCTATTTGCTTAGTTGTTGACCAAAGGGTCTTTGTCATCCAACATGCAAATTTTTGCCTCTAAAAACTGAAACTTAAATGTTGTTCTCCTGCATACCATGTTATGTGAGTCAGGGCTGTTCCTCACCATATGGCTCAGAGTGAGCTATCTCACTCACTCCACATGCTTACCTGCCACTACTTACCAGATTTCCACTTTATTAATTCTTTGCAAATACATGCCCCATGTTCTATATTTGCTTCCCCACTGATTCCTGTTAAGAGATTTGCCAAAGTCAACTTGGAGGGCAGTGGATTAAAGTTCGCTTTTCAGGCGCAAATGGAAAGAAACTGGGCCATGCACTATCTCCCAGCTCAGCCTACAGAAATTTTAATTTCAAATCCTTTACTGTAGGATTGGTTCACTGTATCACATAAGCATTAAAAGCAAACACAAAATACCACTTTCATCAAATGCATTTCTCATTAAATGAGGGGATGCATTTTTTGAAGGGAAAAAAACCTTTTTCCCAGGCACAGGCTTTATGTTGGGAATGACTCAGTAAGTTGTATTTCTTAACTCTCAGTATGTGCAGCATGTGCTCTTTCTTCTTTCTGGCTGTAAATTTAGATGAGCCCAGCAGGAGGCGGGCTTCTTTAAAGTGTTTCACAGTAAGGATTTGCATTACTGTACTTCCAAGTCCTAATCCAACCCATCTGCCATATGCTTTGACACCCTTATAAATCCTCTAACCCTTCATCAGCTATAATTCTGCTTGAGGAAAGAGAAAGAATGAACAGAGAGTGTAAAATATAAAAATAAAAAGTTGACTAAAATGCTGCACAATTGCTGTGTTTTCAATCAGGGAAATGTCTTGCAGGTTCACCAAGCCCAAACATCCCACACCACACAATGTGCAACACTTTTGCTTGGATTCCTGTCAAACAAATCTATAATACACACTGCTAAATTAAACTGCACAACAGATTATCCCCACACTGTTGCCCTTGTCACTGTGAACTCCTCATTTATCCATGGCATATGGTGCTTCCAGAAGGCAAGCATTATTTCTTCTCTGCCCTCTCCTTGTTTCTCTAGGAACAAAAATCAAAGAATGCACTTCTGAAGATTTGAAAGGAAAGCATGGAGAAGGAAAAGTTCAAAATCTCACTAGACTATTCTCACATTACAAAGAACTGTATATACTTTAAAAAAAAAACCCTACACACATCTTAGAACAACATAAATGAATAAAAATGGAATTAGATTTAGGCCTTCAACCAATCTATATCACATTGGTCTTGAAAACGTCTTAAATTTTAGCATGTGCAGAACAAAGCAGGAAAACTACTTCCTGATGAAATAAGTCACTGAGAACACACAAAATAGGGCACAGTATCTGCACTGAATCCCTATGATCTTTTGGTCAGAATTCAGCAAATCGGCCTCATGCATTTGATGGCCACTGCAAACTATATCCACTAGAGCTGTGGTGCTAAAGCAAGTCCACAGCCAACAAAACAAGTCTTTTTCAGGAACAATACACTGGAGAAGAGCCTAATGCTGGGAACAATAGATGGCAAAAGAAGGGGACAGCAGAGAATGAGGTGGCTAGATGGAGTCACTGAAGCAGTTGGTGTGAGCTTGGGTGGACTCTGGGGGATGGTGGAGGACAGGAAGGCCTGAAGGAATGTTGTCCATGGCGTCACCATGGGTCAGACACGACTTCGCAACTAACAACAACAACAAGAAACATTTTTAATAGGCATGTTTTCTTTGAATTTTTTCATACCTGATTTGTATGAATAACAGAGGTATAAACTACAACAGGCACAGGCATAAACTACAACAGGAAAAGACCCTAAGAAGCAAATGCTTCCAACTATTTATATATTTTGAGATTTACACACATCTTAATCAACAGAGTCATAGAACAAGAAACCAGTTCAGAGAGGTCAAGAAAATCATACAAAATTTGAGTATTTTAAATTTTAGTTTTAAAATCACCTCTCTTTCTCTTAGGACCAACACTTATCCAACAAAAACTCTTGC